GCTAAGTGGTGGGTGAGTCTGCTGGAGCACATTGGCAGAGCAGGCACCCTGCTGAGAACAGCTGCCCATGAACCTTGAGGAATGCCTCAGTTCAGTGCTGAGTTCTTCAGTCTGAGACAAGAGAGGTGCACAGGGGCATTGTCCGCCGTCTTCCACCCACACCACAGAGACAATTAACTTGGGGGCACACACTACCACGGCTCCTTGGCTCAGTGAAGGTAAGTGAAATCAATGGATCAGACAGGGCCCTCACAGCAGGAGTGAAGGGGTGGCAGCAAAGAGCTGTTTGGGTGGAACTGGATCTGCATCTCCATGTAAAGCCTGTTCTGTGCATCTGACCCAAGCCTGAGCTTTGTCCTAGAAAAGAGAAGGTGTTGGACTTTATGCTGCTAAATTCATGAGCGCTGTGACATCTAGAGCAGCAGTATGGTTGTACTCAGCATGCTAGGGCACTGCTGAGCCAAAGCTGTGCTGATAGGCTAATTTGAAATCCCAGCATTAGAAAGTGGAAGTCTAGGCTACCCTATCTCCATGTTCCGGAAAGCAACCAAAGTTCTGTGGTAACAAACATCTGGGGGTTGGTCGTTTCCTTACTTTATTTCTCAGCATACCCATATGTTCCTCCTGCTCACCCCCTTCACTGTCTGCATGATAATCCCTTTGTTGCCCCAGCATCGTCTCCCTACAGTCTTGTTCTCTCTCTTTGGCCTTCTTTTCCACAGAAAGACAGAAAAGGCCCACAGCAGAGTTGTAGAGAGAAAACAGGCCCAGTGAGGGACTAGCAACGCCATGGAGTCTAAACCCCATGCAAAGGTCTTTGACACAGGCGTCAGCCGTGGACTCATACTGACAGGAGATGCTGCCCAGTTATGCCTCTAAGATGCAGGGGAAAGCTCGGTATCCCATCAGGAAGCTTCTCCCCTTCCCTCTCCAACACCAGGGTATTTCAGGGCCCACAGGGCTCTTGCAGGAAGGATAAAGACCTTCCCCACTATCTCCAGGATTGGAACTCAAGGCCTGGAAACTTGAGCTGCACCTTGCAGAGCAGAGGCACTATCAGGTTGCCAGCTCCGGGGCAGCAGCTGTTTCGCTCTATAAACCCTTCTCTGTACAGTTGTAATAATATGGTTTTTCTGTAACCATGATGGAAGGCCTGAAGCCATATTGGCAGTCAGACTGAAGAGCAGCAGCATTAGCTACACGGGGACCAGTAAATCCATTCACGAACTTTTGGAGGACCAGTAATGTTCATTTGCATATTCATTAATCAAATGATGAATATTCAAATAAGTTGTTTCTGGTCCTCCCAAATCTCCCAGTGCCAGCTTTAGCAAAGCTTTTGATATGGTCACCCACAATATTCTTGCCAGCAAGTTAAGGAATATGGATTGGATAAATGGGCTGTAAGACAGACAGAAAGCTGGTTAGACCAGGGTTTCCCAAACTTTTTACTTTAATTGGAACCCTTTTTTTTCAGTTCTGCTTTTTGCAGCCCCAAAATATAAACAAATGAAAAACAAACGAAGAAAATACCAGACATATAACATGTCTGGTATTTTCTCGGTAGGTAAGTTGTATTATTTCTAGATGTATCAGTTTGTAGTTTCAAACTGCCTGGCTGGTAAATGTGCTCAGGCTGCATGAGTGTGTCTACCAGCCAGATAGTTCGCAACTAGTCGAGGGGTTTGTGTGTGGGGGGAGCGGGGGACGACACGGGACAACAGTAGAATCCCTGTGCCAGACTAACTCGTGCTTTGTGGGGGGTCGGGTCAGTCCCACTCCCTGCAGGCCGATTCATTCCTCCCCTCTGCTCCCCTTGCTACGCCTCTGGCCAGCCCCACTTCCCCCAACCCCCTCCCTGTCAGCCAGTTCTCCCCCGCTTTTCCTCCCAATCTCCCTTGGCCAGCCCCGCTGCCTGCGTCCAGCCCTCCTTCCAGCGGCCACTTCTCCCACCCCGCCCACAGTCGGGTCAGTCCCACTCCCTGCAGGCCGATTCATTCCTCCCCTCTGCTCCCCTTGCTACGCCTCTGGCCAGCCCCACTTCCCCCAACCCCCTCCCTGTCAGCCAGTTCTCCCCCGCTTTTCCTCCCAATCTCCCTTGGCCAGCCCCGCTGCCTGCGTCCAGCCCTCCTTCCAGCGGCCACTTCTCCCACCCCGCCCACAGCTTCCCCGGCCAGCTCCCTGCTCCCAACCTCGCACCCCCCGGCAGCCCTGCTTCCACCAGCCCCTCAATATCCCCAGCCTGCCCTGATTCCCCCGTCCAGTTCTGCTTCCGGTGGCCAGCTCTCCCCTCCTCC